GATCCTTACTTAAGGCCGCTTTATGATGTACTGTATGATATGTTGCCCGCAGAGCAGGTGGATAAACGCTTGCATAGTGGTGAGATTGAAATTGCTCCTTTAGCGTACATGCGAGGGCGTACATTGGCGCATGCTTATGTGATTTTAGATGAAGCTCAAAATACGACTCCGACGCAGATGAAAATGTTTTTAACGCGTTTGGGGGAAGGATCCTCTATGGCGATTACGGGTGATTTATCTCAGGTCGATTTGCCGAAAGGGGTGATGTCGGGACTACGCCAAGCGATACAAGTTTTAGAGGGTGTTGAAGGAATTACTGCAACCAAATTAACCTCTGTGGATGTTGTCGCCATCCTTTGGTGGGGAGAATCGTTGGGGCTTATGATAAGGTGTTGGGTGGTACACCAGAGCAATATTCTTCTCCTTAGATGACGGTGCATTATGGCCTCCGGTAATATTACTCTTACTGTTCAGAAAGATTCAAATGCCTGGGAGGCTCTTCAGGAAGAATTGACACAGCTTTTTAAGCATTTAGCACAGAAAACCAAGAATATTTTACCTTTTCCTGTTAAAGGGCAGTGGCATGTTGACGTATTATTAAGTGATAGCGAGATTGTTTGCGCCTTAAATCATCAATATAGAGGGAAAAATAAACCAACAAATGTTCTCTCTTTTCCACAGACAGCAGGAATAGAGACCCTAACGAATTCGTCACAAACATGTCTTTTGGGAGATATTGTTTTGTGCTGGGGGGTTATTAATGCTGAAGCCTTGGAGCAAAAAAAGACAATTATTCATCATGTTGCCCATTTATTTGTACACGGCCTTCTTCATCTGTTAGGATTTGATCATGAGGGTGAAAAAGATGCAGAGTGTATGGAAGCTTTGGAAGTTTCTATTTTAAAGAGTGTGGGAATCCCGGATCCTTATCGAGACTTTTCACATGATTAAAAAATTTTTTTCTAAGATTTTTGGTCGTTCAACAGCACCGGCTCGAGATGCTCTTGAGGAGCTTATTGAAGAAGATGAAGCTTCGATTGATCCAGAAGAGCGCCTTTTGCTGGGTAATATTTTAGATCTTCGAGATCAAAATGCTTCCGATGTGATTATCCCCAGGGGTGACTTAAAAGCGATTTCAATGGAGGCAACATTTGAAGAAATTGCTTCTGTTGTTTCCGCGTCTCCTTTTACACGGATCCTTGTTTATAAAGGGACACTCGATACAATTGTGGGGTTTGTGCACATCAAAGAAATTCTCAAGTTTGCATCAGATTTTTCTCGTTTTGATTTGAAATCAATTCTTCAACGCATTTTATTTGTTTCTCCTTCAATGCCTTTGTTGGATTTGCTTCTTCAAATGCGCATGACAAAAATACCTCTTGCTGTTGTTGTTGATGAATATGGTGCAACGGACGGTTTGGTTGCTGCATGGGACATTATTCGAGAAATTCTAGGCGACATCGGAGATATTCATGATATGGAATCTGCGCCTCAGATGACGCGTATTTCAGATAGTTCAGTTTTGGTTGATGGTCGTTTGGACCTTGAGGATTTAGAAGACGCTTTGGGTCCTTTCCGTACAGAAGAAGATAGAAATGAGGATGTCGAAACTGTTGGGGGATTTTTCTATATTTAGCAGGTCGTGTCCCTGCTGTGAAAGAGGTAATCGAGCATAAGTCAGGGACAATTTTTGAAATTGTTGATGTGGATCCTCGGCGTGTTAAAAAAGCACGTGTGTATCGTATTCTTGAAGAAGCCCTTGTTTCAAAAGAAGATGATCAAGAAAGGTCAATCTAAAAATTTTTCGTAAGAAAGTTAACTCCTTCTCATGACAAAGCGTAATCGTTCTCCCAAACCCTCCAAAAAAAGTTCTAAGCTAACTAGAAAGGCAAAAAAAAGTGCCCCAAAGTCTTTTTGGGAACGTAAGGGGATTCGGCGTTTCTTTTTATTTTGTCTTGGTGGAATGCTTCCCTTAAGTTTTCCTCCTGTAAATCAACCTTTGTGGGCATTGGTAAGTTTAAGCTCGTTTTTAACGTTTCTTATTTCAAGGCAGCCCTATTTAACAACTTGGCGCGCACTCTTTTTTCCAGGGTGGTGGTATGGATTTGGCATGTTTACGGTTGGCCTATACTGGATTACTTATGCTTTGCATGTGGATTGGGCACGCTTTTTTTGGATTACGCCATTCACACTATTAGGTCTTCCAGCTATTTTAGCCTGTTGGATAGGGGGGGTAAGCTCTATAGCGTGTCGATTTGGCCGGTCGCCTTTTCAAATTTGGATTTTATTTTCTGCCCTATGGATAGTGGCGGAATGGGGAAGGGGCTTTTTATTTACGGGCTTTCCTTGGAATCCTTTAGGGCTTATGTGGTCTTTTCAAGACGAAGCACTGCAAGGAGCCAGTGTTATAGGCGTTTATGGGCTATCTGCCTTAAGTGTTTGGGCTTTTTCAGGGCTCGCTTTAATTCTATGGAAAAAATACTGGGTTGCGGCGTTGCCTGTGGCTTTAACTGTAGGTCTCTATCTTTTTGGAGCCAATCGCTTGAACAATGCCCAGCTTGTACAAGAATACTCCATTCAAATTCGTGTTGTTCAGCCTAATATTCTGCAGGTGAACAAATGGAATCCTGATCGATTTTTTGATAATTTTCAAACGCTTGTGGAATTGACAAGCTTGCCGAGCACGAAGAAAAACTTCTTTCCAAAAGTGATTGTATGGCCGGAATCTGCTTTGCCGTACTTTTTAGAACAGGACGTTTCTGCACGTGAAGCGATTGCAGAATCTTTACCTGAAGAGGCGATTTTGCTTACAGGAGGGCTTCGCAAATTGTCTTCTTGTGATTTACGTAACAGTATCTTAGCCATTAATAGCGAAGCTCAAATTTTAGGTGCTTATGATAAGGTGCACCTTGTGCCTTTTGGAGAATATCTCCCTTTTCGTTCCTATTGGCCAAAGGGAATTACAAAGATTACATCTGGGGAGTGTGATTTTACGCCTGGCCCGGGGAGGAGCCCGATGAGTTTGACAGGAATTCCCCTTATTGGAGGGTTGGTTTGTTATGAAGGCATTTTTCCAGGAGAAGTTATGCCGGAAAAGGGAGAACAGCCAGAATGGTTCTTAAATGTCACGAATGATGGATGGTATGGGGATACTTGGGGGCCACAACAGCATTTGCACTTATTAAGACTCCGCGCGGTAGAAGAAGGAGTGCCTTTAGTGCGTGTGGCAAATACAGGTGTGAGTGCAGTGTTTGATGCCTATGGTCGTTTTGTTGGCAGCTTAGAGTATGGTCAACGCGGAATTTTAGATGTCCTTTTACCTGTCACTTTAAAGGCAAAAACTTTTTATTCTTATTTTGGGGGTTGGTTTCTTGTTATTTGGGTTTTATCCTTGAGCCTTCTATTTGGTTTAGTACGTTTCCAAAATAAGTGAGGTCCTTAAGGGTGCTTGATCGTCAGAATTTTGTGTTTACAAGCGAGTCATTATCAGAAGGTCATCCAGATAAAATCTGTGATCAAATTTCCAATTCGCTCCTAGATTTATATCTTACAAAAGATCCTCAAGCGCGTGTTGCGATTGAGTCGGTCGTTGGTCCCAATTTAGTTGTATTATTGGGAGAGGTGCGATCATCAAAACCCATTTCTCAAGTAGAAGTCGAACAAACTGTGCGTCAGGTTGTGAAAGATATTGGATATACGCAAGAAGGATTCCATTGGGAAACATTTAAAATTGAAAACCATATCCATCGCCAATCTAAAGATATTTCTTTAGGCGTTGATCGAGAAGGAGCTGGAGATCAGGGAATCATGTTTGGTTACGCTTGTGATGAAACAGAGGCTCTTATGCCGGCGCCTATTTACTATAGTCATCGTATTTTAGAAGAACTTAATAAAGCACGGAAAAACTCTGAGATTAAAGGGCTGGGTCCTGATGCAAAATGTCAATTGACCATTCAGTACCAAGATGGGTGCCCTAAGTGGCTTACAGCCTTAGTGTTATCGACACAGCATGAAGAAGAACTTTCTCTTGAAAGTTTAGAACAGGTTTTGATACCCTTTGTTCAAAAGGTATTGCCACAAAGGTGGTTGAGACCCCAGACACGCACT